TTGGAGAAGCAGATGATTTTGAAGCTTGTCCTCTTGTGCAGATTTGAAACTTTTAAGAACTTCCTTTGTTGAGGTGTAGACGTCGTACTGTATGTTAGTATTGTCGCATGTTGATTTCCATAAATTTCTTATACAATCATTTGGAGAGGTTTTTAAGGCTTTACGAGAGACTGTTTGGCACTGACTGAACTTGACGGATGGAGGGTATATTTTAGTCCAAATTTGTTACTTGTGAGGAAGAAATTACTTAAAGTTCCAGATACGGGTATTTCAAGCCATTTCCGTACGAATTTATTCACTACTGAGTCCATGTTTTCAGAAACCCACGTTTTTGATAAGGTAGCGACAGTAAAATGCCAGGAGAATTTCGATAGGAGATAACGACTATAGAGTAAAATTTTGTTCTTTGGGTGTAGCGGTTTGAGGTCAATTTCTGACATGATATCTTCAAGGAGGGTGATTAGTTCTTGTTTGTGATCTTGGTCAGACATACTGAAATTAAAATATTTCCCTAAGTATCGGAAAGACTATCCTATTTTAGTGGCCGGTATTAATTTATTGTCAATGAGGAGTCTTGGTAGGTATTGGATTGATGTGCTACATGTACTACATTTGTCGACTCGAGTAATCATGTTTGACCATTGACACCAGATTGAGAAGCGGTTTAAAAGGTGCTGATTTTCGCTCTCTTGACCGCAAATAACGGCTGCATCATCAGCAAACTGGAACCAATGGATTGGATTTTAAAATTTGGTCATGAAACCAAATTGGCGGTATTTATCAGCTTTAATGTGCTGAATAAAGGTGTTGAAACACATATTGAAAAGTAAAGGACTAAGACAGTCTCCTTGAAGTACACCTCGGCCAACAGTTATGAATGGGGTAGAGAATTCGGCAGTTATAATTGTGGTGTTGAAGTCTGTATACAAGCTCTTGATAATTTCATTAATCTGTTCGGGAATGTGATGATAATCGAGGACAGATTGAATGAGATTATGATCCACTTCACCAAAGGCGTTTTTAAGGTCAAGAAGGGTGATGACAACAGAGCGTTGCTTTATCCTCGCTTGGTTGATGATGTTTGTCATTTGAGCTGTGTGTTCCAAAGTGCCAGACAAATTGGGAGTGAAGCCTTTCTGAATCTTTTGTTCAATGAAATTATTAGCCGTTAGAAAGGAAAGGAAACGCCATGGCGTTGCCGAAGATATGAGGTAAACACTTTTAAGGGTATGGATTCCAGAGTAATAGGACGGAAATTGGAAGGGTCATTTGTATTGCCCTTTTTGTGTATAAGTACAGAGCATGCTTTTTTCCATTCGGCAGGTACAGATTTTGAAGACCAAACGCTACGTATTACTTCTGTCAAGTACGTATGGAGAAATGGACATCGTTTAAAGCAAATTATTGAAAGTTGATCGAGCGGGCAAGGTGAGGCGCATGCTTTCATTCGGCGAATTATATTTGTAACTTGGCGATATGTTGGGGGTTCAAGGTCAAAATTGATGACGGGTTCGGATAACTTTGGAATCCCGCTGGGAATACAGAATAGTTTATGTGTGTTAATTGCGCTTAGAGTTCTCTTGAAATATGTCAGGCATTCTATCATCGAAAATGTGGGAAGTAGGGAAGTGTTCTTATTCAGGATGTTTTTAACGTAGCCCCAAAAGTTTCTACCAATGTAATTGTCGTGATTAAATACTTCATTGTGGTTTTGAGTTGTCTGGTCATCGAGATTGTTTTGACTGGCATTACGCAATTTCTCACGCAATGTGCGGGACACGTATTTAATTTCATGAGGTTCGGCGTTTGAAAGTTTTAGTTTTTTCAGAGATTTCTTCAACTCCTTTACTGTTTGGTCTCTGTACTTATCCACCAGTGCTTTATCCGCGGAATCTTTTTGGCATGACCGAAGTTATCAGCAAAATAATTGTAGACCACATTATTTAATTGCAAGATGCTAGAGCTTGGCCGTTAGTTATTGGCCGTTGACCATTCTGCGTCGTTTTGGGGGAGTTTTATTCCTTTCTTTAACACTGGGAAATTCTAATTACTTGCGTCGTGTGCCATGGCATCGTTCTCCTCAACAGTAGAAGAATTAAAGCTATCAGTAGAGTTCTCAGTAGATTGTTGTTCAAGGTCCGTAAGCAGTTCGTCATTTAATCCATGTATTACACGACAACTACGTTGATGCATTTTAAGACCCCGCGTTCCTTTGAATGATTTACCACAATAGCATTTCACATCATCAGTATTCGAGATCCTAACAGCAGAATGTATAACCGGCATCTGGTTAACTGTGTTACCAGGAAGATTTTGATTCAACTTTTGTTTACATCGCCAAGAATGGCGGCCGAGTGTAACGAACTTTTTGCCACAGAACGAGCAAACAGCGCAAATGGCCAACATAGCAACAAGGCTTGAACGAATCATGATTTATATCCTAGTAAATCCGATAGTTATAATATTTTTTATTAATAAACTGTGGTTCAAGTAAGAAAATAACGATGAAAACGAACAACATGTGCAGAGGGCGTATAAACAATGCTGCTCTGCTCAATGCTGATATAATGCATAATAATAATAATGGAAACTTTATTTATTGATTATTAGGATATATACAACTACAATGATAAACCTCGCTTTACAGGTAGTTTATCAATGTCTACTTGAATTGATACTATATATTTATTGTACAATAATTATTTTAAGAAGGATTATATTAACATTAATTTTGGGTTATCCCACACCTTGTTTCGTTTACAAAATACATAATATGATGTTCGTATGCATATGTTCACGATTTGCTTTTTTTATGTATTTACTATACTTGGCATCACATTTAAGGCTACTTAGCATGCCATCGAAATTTTCACAAGATCGGCCAAAAACTCCGAGGGTACTCAAGGATAAATTGACGAACTTGACTTTATCATAATCTGCTTTCTGCTCATTGATTAGATCACGGTACTTTTGACGCTTACGATTGGCGTTAACTTGCAGATTGGATTCATAACCGACTGTAAGCTCGAGGATGTATAAACACCTGTTTTCAGTCACCAGCAGAAGGTCAGGTCGTAAACGATCTCCCGTGATAACAGATGGATTCATAAAACCAGGAATGTCCACGTAAAGTGTGGAATTTTTCACAGCAGTAAGAGTGGATGCGAGGAAATTTAAAACAGAATCGTGTCGCCATGTAAACCGGCCTTCGTCTAAATATGTCTTACATCCAGCAATCACATGGAGCAGCGTTTCAGGTGAGGAGCAGAAAGAGCAATCGGATGTTGATGATAGTCCCCATTTTAATAGGTTCTTTCGTGTTGGAAGTGTGTTATTGATATATCGGATGGTGAAATTAAAATGTTTTTCGGAAGTTTGCTCTGAACGGATGACCATAAAGAGTTGAATGTGGATGTGGAATGATTCATGATACTGGAAAAGAAAGAACCTTGCGAAATGAGGTGGTTTTGAAGCCTTTGTTCGTTTTCTTTTCTAACTGCCTTAAGTACGTCTTTTGTGTCTTTGTAAATATCATACTGTACGTTCTTGTTGGTGCTCGTCACCGCCCATAGATTGTTAATATCTACCTTTGGTGAGTATTTTAAAGCTGATCGAGAGACAGTTTGACATTGGATAAATTTTGTCGAAGGGAGAATAATATTCTGACCAAATTTGTTTTGTGGAAGCAACACGTTGCTAAGGGTTGCAGAGACGGGAAGTTCCAGCCATTTTCGGATATAATAATAATAATAATAATAATAATAATAATAATAATAATGGAAACTTTATTTAATTTTCTAAACTTACAACTGCAAATCTCACTATATAAGGTAATTTACAATTGGCAACTTGATATATTACTATTAAATGATTTTATAACGCACGATTAAATTTACTCTATTACTCTATATACATACTTATACAATAAAAATTTTAAAGTTTCATCAAGTCCGGATTCACCCAGTTCTTATTTCGGCAAAAAAAAATGTAGTAGGTTGACCTTATTGCAATATTACAGGGCCCGCGGAGCGTATTAGAGAGTGGGGGGGGGGGCTAAATCATCAATAAAACCCCCAAGGAAAATGTTCAATTTTCTATTACCTTAAACGCTATTTCCTGCATTTTTGGAGGAACTTTAGCAAAAAATCTCCAAGACCATCGTCATAAAAAGTAACAAAACTTAGACCTTTTACAAACTTCTAAGCAATCCTTTTACTAGGCTACTTTATAAACTAAGAGTATCTTAACAATTTTAAGCCCTCCATAAAAATAATATTTATTAAAAATTTAATAATTTTGGCTGTCAAAAAAAGTGGGGGGGCTAAAGCCCCCCCAGCCCCCCCGTCTCCGCGGTCCCTGTATTAATAATCTTTTTAATAACGTATCTTACATGAGCTTTATCTAAATTAAAATGTTCTAACATGTCTATAAAACCAGAAGATTCTTTGTCAAACACACCAAGTGCACTAATCGAAAGGTTGATGGAGTTTACCGCATGATAATTTTTCTTTTGTTCCATAATCATATCTTTATACTTGAAGTATTTCCTGTTAACATCATTTCTGAGGTTAGTCTCATATCCAACGGTTAATTCCAGAATATACAGACAATTGTCTTTCGTCGAAATTAGTAAATCAGGCCGATAATCATCACCAGTGATTGTAGAAAGATTAGAGAATGACGACAAATCAGCATAAATGGTCCGGATATGTTCTGATGGAAGGTTATTAGCAATGACATTTAGAATTGAGTCATGTCTCCAAGTAAATCGATCGAGGTAGGAACTGCAACCAGCGACGACGTCTAATAGAGATTCAGGATTAAGGCAGAACGAGCATTCAGAAGACGAGGATAGCCCCATCTTTGAAGGTTCTTACGGGTTGGCAGTGAATTGTTTATATAGCGAATGGTAAAGTTGAAAAGGTTTTTTGGCAATTTCGACTGACAAGCTGGCAAGATCGTATTTACTTGGGTTAGGGGAAATCTTGATACAATGGTAAAGAATGAGCCTTGGTATGTTAGTTGGTTTGTTAATTTATCTTCTTCTTGATCAGCACGAAATAACTTAATCACTTCCTTCGTCGAACTGTATTGGTCGTATTGATTATTAGTATGATTAGTTGTTGACTTCCAGAGGTGGATTATTGATTCATTAGGAGATGATTTTAAAGCATTCCGAATTGTTACCTGGCATTATAAAAACTTAGTTGATGGGGGGGTGATGTTAAGACCAAATTTGTCGCTGGTTAAGTAGATATTACTCAGCGTTCCAGAAATAGGTACCTCATGCCATTTGCGAACATGTTGCGTAAATAAAGAATCCAGGTTTTCCGAAATCCAGGTTTTTGAAATTGATGTAATAGTAAGATGACAGGAGAGTTTCGATAAAACATAATGATTGTAGAGTAGCATCTTGTTCTTCGGATGTAATGAATTAAGATTTATTTTTTTCAATAGATTTGTTAGAGGGGAGATTAGTTCCAGTTTGTGTTCATTTTTAGTCATTTCATTATCCAAAAACCAAACTGTTGATATTTTTCGGATTTTATGTGCTGGACAAAAGTGTTGAAACAAAGGTTAAACAATAATGGACTAAGACAATCTCCTTGCAAAACTCCACGACCATGCGCAACTTGTAGAAATGGGGTGTTGAGATCAGATGTGATGATTGATGTTTTAAAATTTGTGCAGAGGCTTTTAATCATGAATTGAATATGTTCAGATATGTGGTGGTGGCCGAAAACCGATTGAATTATATTGTGATGTACTTCACCGAAAGCATTCTTGAGGTCAAGGAGGGTTATAACTAAGGATCGCTGTCTAATTCGTGCTTGATTGATCATATATGCCATTTGTGCCGTGTGTTCAAATGTTTCTGAGATATGGGGGGTGAATGCTTTTGTATCTTGTGTTCAATAAAGTTATTCGCAAGGAGGTAAGCGAACATATAGCATTACGGAGACTTGAAGTAAATACTTTCAGTGGTACAGATATTGAAGGGTTATTGGTCGAAACTTCTCTGGGAGATTAGTATCGCCTTTCTTGTGCATTAGTATTCTTTATATAAAGAATACTCAATAGGAGTGTTTTATCAGGTTTAAAGCCACTGCACGTGACATATTATGGTTGACATGATTTGCCAATAAGCTTATGAATTATTAATGAGTGTTTGAAACAATATATTTACATTGATAAACCTCGTTCATAAAGGTAGTTTATCGATTACTACATGAAAAATATTTGGATTACATAAATTTACAAAAATAAGGAATTTTGAATATCGTTCATAATTTTAAGGTGGCTCCCTAAAGTTAGTACAGTTTAAATACGATTTATATAGATCAGACTTCATCCTCGCGACCTGCGCGTGGAATCCATCGTGTTTACTGCTCGGCAAAAATATTGAAACAAGCTGCGGGAAGTTTTTTGGCGTTTTAATCTACAAAGAAAGCTCCAGTTTTTCATTGTAATCCTAATTTTTTGTGAATTCGAACAGTACGTATGTTATCAACTAGTTTAGCCAATCTTTTAGTGTGTTTTTACGTATTTACGTTCAGTATTGTCTCTCATATTGCTCAAAATTTTAAACTTGTTGTGTTGCGAACTGTCAAACTGAAATGATACTGTCTTCAATAACTCTTGAACAGTAGCGAACTGTCGCCGAAACTTATGTAAGTTCTGTCAACCAATTCAATTCCCAGGTATCGTTTTATCTGCTAAATCAAATAAAACAGTTATGAGTTGTTTTATATAAAAAGTTAAACTTGTAGTTCGATGTTTTGAAAAGTTTTCACACCAATTTTAACAACAAAAACAAATGTAAATTAACACTGGATTTAATACAATGCTTATAATAGTGTATTTTTATTAGTATTTTCAAGATTAATATTTTATTTTCATGTCAAACAAGGCAGAAATATTTGTTTTCGTATGTATTGTAAGCCAAAAAGTTGAAATCACTATGATTTAATCACACGCTACAATTTACACGCATGCACAGATCGTGCTCATGTCGAGTCGATTTTTTTTCATGCTGGCCACGCCTATTTTGGCGATGATTTTCTCGTGTTTTCTTCGGTGAAATTATTTTAAACTTTGTATTTTTGTTGTACAAGACGAGTGGTACAACATATCCAAATTTTAAGAAATTCTACAAATAACTTTTTCTGTAATCGTCATTTACGAATATCTCGAAAACTTATTTGTAAATTCCCTTCAAGTTTTGATATGTTTTTCCTTTTTGGGCCATAAATCTTCAAAAAAAATTTCAGAAAAATTCACCGAAGGAAAATATAGATATTGTCAATTTATTGTGAAATTAGACAATAAAAGTGCAAAAGATTAAACATCATGGCTGTTATGGCAACACGAACACTGTTTTAATTTGTTCAGAAATGGACAGCACACAGCTTCTGAACTTTCCTGGAAATGATCATATTGCCTTGTCTTAAGTGTATCTAATATAAATTCGGTTCAAAGCGAACGTTACTCAAAATACCTAGAATTTTAGAGAACTGTAGGGAGCTACCTTAAAAGCTCTGGGCTAGTCCAGTCTTTGTTTGGTTGACAGAATACATAATATGATGCGCGAATACAAGTAGCAATGATTTTCTTTTTAATGTATTTATTTCGTTGATCACCAAACTTTAGTTCCTTGAGCATATCAGTTAAGGTTACAGAACACCTTTGAATGTTAATTTTGTCTAAAAGTTTTTTATTGGTTTCCATGAAAGCATTAGACTAGTTTTGCTATCTGACCAAATTTGAACTAAAAATGTTGAAAACTCGCAGAGTTATTTAATAAAATACATTTCGCTGCAATAAGAAAAACATTGAGAGTTTAATATTCAAATTCAATTTTCTCCCAAAGAATTTTACGGCAATTACTGATTTTCAAACGACTGGTTTTAACGAATTTTTCTCAAATTTTCGCAGGACATAGCTAAAGAGGTCAGATTTAAGATTGTGTTCGGCTTTTTCCTAATTTTGGATATTTTAATAATAAGAAGTAATTGACTCAAACGATTCAGAAATATATTGTAGTCTTCAAAGAAATCGGCATTTCAGCGGAATGACGAAATAAATAAAAATTTCGAACACAATTTTTTAGAACAACTATTTTGCTGTATAAAAATGATATTTCCATCAATATATCTCAAAACAAGCAGGAACACAACTCAAAAGCGTAACGGTACCGCGATTTAAGATTTTCCTGAATAATTCTTACATTATTTTATTGTTTGTCAATTTTACAACTGTTGCATCCAATGGCTAACATTTGGTGAAAATTTGATGAAAATTGGACTGATTTTGAGCGCGCAGTAGCGATTTTCTGCAAAACGACAAAAATGGTGTCCTGTATTAAAGGGACAAGTTCATGGACATCTCCAAGTGTTTCAGGAGCTAGCAAATTACTTAAAACGAAGCTTTTGTTATAGCGGAGCAGTATTGTGGAATACTCTCCCCCAAAACGTACGAAAGCTTAAATCGTTCTCTCAGTTCAAGAAAGCAGTAAACGAATATTTATAAACTTAAACACGGCAATCTTGTACAGTATACAGATTAATTTGCTATTTTTTTATATTTATCTTATTTAAAAAATTGTATTGTATTGTATTGTGTTGTGTTGTGTTGTGTTGTGTTGTGTTGTGTTGCGTTGCGCTACATTGCATTGCATTACATTTTACATTGCATTGCATTGCATATTGCATTGCATATTGCGTATTGCACATTGCATATTGCATATTGCATATTGCATATTGCGCCGGTGTTGCTTATTGCCTATTGCATATTGCATTAGCCACTCACATTGTAAATATTACTTATTTCAGTTCGGATGTGATGAATGTCTGAATGGTGAAAAGATGATCTGGGATCCAGTGAGACCACTTGGATGCAAATGTCCAAAACGTGGTTACGGTTACGTTGGGCAAATTTGTGAAAAGTGTAAGTACTTCTTTGAGCACCGCCGTTCCGGGCGTAAGCCAAGAGCGAGGGTACTAAACCAGCTCGGTTATTTACATCCATGGAGCAAAGCATTGGCGAAGTCAAGTCCTTCAATATATACATGTATATCCGCGGGCGCGCGACACTGGTCCATTGTGTTCCATTGTGCTATGGGCGAATCCCTCAGTGATCTAAAAAATATAGATGTTTGCCAAGAGTGGTATAAGCAATATTTCAATTTTGAAAAATATATTTAGAAATTGTCTACAATAAACTTACATCCAAGCGATTTTGCTTTGAAGAAATTAGAAGAATTTTAACTTATTTTCAGTGCCGTGACTGGACGCGATAATTGTGGGGAGCGGGGTGCATATTCATATGTTCGTGCTTAGCCTGCGTAGCAGGCGGTATTCGCGGGCACGAGAGAATGGGAAGCTAGAAATACCGCCTGCCCAAAAACTACACATTCTGAGTTCTCCGGCAGCTGGGTGACGGAGCATTCTGATTGGTCAGAATGTTGATTTTGAATTTTTGATTGACAGGAGTAAAGAATTAGAATAATTAGTGCTAATTTTAGAAGTTACTGTTGCCGTATTTATAATATAAACTATTGTTATTTTCGTAATTGATACCGATATATCGAGTGATGGCATACACTAACCAAAAAATAACGAATGTATTAATTAAGAATTAAGCGTTGAATTCTTTAATCTTTATCTGGAATCGGAAATCGCTTCGTCTTGAAGAATGAACAACGAATATCAATCCAACATTTGTTGCTTGATAGATGTGATACCGTGATAAAAGTGCAGATTTGAAGATACAGGCTCGTAAATGACACTCTAAGTAGTGTTTTTGATAGCGATTGGAACAAGACTATTACAAAGTTACGTCCGAAGGGGCCGAAGTTATGTT